CCTCATACCCAACCATGCAAACTGTAATTTATCTTTAAGGTATGGCTGGGAACATGCCACTGAATGTCTCTGCAAGTCCATATGTTTGGCATTGACATAGTTGGGGGATTTTCAAAGTGCTGCTCTGGTTTTATAGTGAGTCTCTTTGGAATGGGAATACCGCTGTTAGTCTAACTGAGGTCATGTTTATGTGAGTGGAGTAGTTGTCGAAGAGGAAGCCCTGTGTGGCTAAACTTGGCTTGAAAATGATCCAAATCATTCAAACAGTGTTCTTACCTCAGCCCTCTGAGGTCATGACAATAGGCTGGGCTGTCATGTTGAGCTTTGCCCTGTACTGTTGTAGGCGTCTAATACAGGCTCTGTCCAGGGCAGGTTTGGGCCCAATATTTACATTCACAAGCATCTCTGGGAATAACAACATCTAGTCCAAGAAACACCCACATACAAAGAAGATAGTTATAAATCAAAGACAGCTGTTTGTCTTTTTCTTTTTCTGTCTAGCCAATATAACCTGGGGACAATAGTCTACAAAATAAAGCCTATTGGCTACAGCCTACCAGATGAAACAGAAACATCATCCACGTAATTGGAAGCATAAAAACATAGCCTGAGGTAGCTATGAGCTACCCAAACATGTTACAATCCAAAACTGATTTGACTAATTTGTAGTAACATTAGCCTACATTACATGTCATCAGTACAATAACACTGTAATGCACAATTATTTCATAATCATGATATATATTATATAATATTTCATCCATCCATTCTTTCCTTTAACATCGCGGACTAATGTGTTTGATCACCACAGTTTGACTTGTCCCCACACTTCATGTCCCGCACACGTCAGTCTGCGCAATGAGCCGCTCCAGCGGCGCACATCCTCCACCAGAGGCTCTCCACAGGATTACAGCTGCCTCTGCATGCTCTGCACGGTAACAATCCTATGCTTTTTACACTTTACATTCAGTTCAGTGCAAGTCCGTTTTGTTCTATGTGCATCAGCTAAACGTTTTGCATTAGCTTTAGCAGTTTTAGCATATATGTTCACCAACATCCCTGGGTGACTAGGCCAAACTAAAAAACAAAACAAAAACAACAACAACAAAAAACAAACAAACAAAAAAAACAAAACAAAACAAACAAACAAACAAAAATTAATTAATTGCATTGGTAATGCATAACTGCTAACAGTTGCATTCTTCTAGTGTTATTTGTTTTTTAGTGTTGTTTGTTTCCCCTAATGAATTCAATTATGTAATTGACCAAACCTATTCACTATAGGTCTATGTCATCTTTTAATATTATATTCCATTAAGTTGTATGGAAGTTAAGGACAACATAAATCATCATCTTGGTTTTATGACTTCTAAGTATAGTGGTATTTTAAACTACATAGGCTACTACATTTTTATTATCATTCATAGTTGGAAAAAAATATTTACAAATAGCAGTACAAGTTGTACCCCGGTATTATACTGTTTGGTCACTTTTGCAGCCTGGTTTTATCTCTTTGCTGCATCTCCTGATGGACAGCTGGACAGCGACAATTCACCTGCAGTATGCTATGGTAAAATGTTACAGATTAACATCCCAAACTACAAATACAAATACCATAAGAATACCATAACCCAGTGAAACGCTTTGTGATCTGTGCAGGTTTTGGGCTGTCCCCTCATGCCTGGCGGGCGTCCTGACTCATCTCCACTGTGTGCCTGGGGCCTCCGTGGTCAGCGTTCATCAGGTGTACTGCTGAGGTATGTCGTTACAGTCCAGAATGTCACCTACTACCCAGCACAATGGATGTAAGAATGAAAGAGCACTGTATGTACAATTATAGGTAGGTAACAACTGTCCTCAGGGTAAAACTTTAACTTATTTTTCCTGTAGAATATATTTTTTCAACCTGTTTCCTATGGCTTTATGCTATAAAATCAATTCAAATCTAGTATCTAAGAATGTTAGTGGCAGGTGTTGTTGTGTAAGCATTGCATACAATCGACTTTCTGTACACCTCTTAATGTGGTCTCCTTTATGGCTGGGGCAACTGTCGGAAAAACGTCTGTCGGCTGTTTTTGAAGCAATTAGTAGCTCTGACCATTAAGACAGCTGGCCAATTAAAAGTGCTTGTGGCTGCTGCCTCTCCCTGCATGTTGGCTATGCACAGAGGTGTGTGAGCTGAGAGAAGAGATGCCAGGAGAGCTTGGCTGTGGCTGTACTCTCTGCGCTGGCTGTGTGAGCAGATAAGCGTGCGGGCAGAAGAAGAGGTGCTGATTTGAGGTTATTGCAACCCCCCCCTCCGGCCTGTCTTTCTCTGTGCAGCTGCAGGTCTGGGAGCTGACCTGCATTAAGACATCACAAACTGGCTGACGGCCTAATAGGAGCAGCTTTCTAGAGCATCTTCAAAAGCTCGTTAAACTGTGGAGCTTTGGCAGTGATTTGAGGAAATGTGCTATTATGGTTTAAATAGAGTTCAGCTAATCTGTACTGGCAGAATAGAATTTCCTGGACATCACCCATATCACCACAAAAATTGAGCTTTTCAGTGGTCATACATAGAGATTTTTTTATTTTTATATTTGTCAAATTTTATTAAAAGTGAACCTGGAATTATTTTGAAATTGGATGAAATGTAAGAAAAAGGATGACATCTGACAGTGATCTGATGTAACTACATGATGACTCTCATCTTAAGGCCAAAGACAGGCAATCACTTCCCTCAACTCTCTGCTGTTGGCAATTATAGGTCAGAGTGTGTCGTCATTGTCTTTGAATAGTGCTCTGTACTGCACTCAGTAATGTTTGTTATGGCTGGGCCCAAGTGCAAGAACATCTATGTACGTTTGAACACACATTATTTATTTCAAAGTTTTTATCCTCCTTGTGCCTTGTCTGGGACCTGCTTGTATCACACAGTTTATATGCATTGCACAGTGCTTCTTCTGCTTACCTGGCTGTGGCCTCTGTGTGCAGAAGAAATCTTGTTTGAACATCCTTTCATGATTCAGAACAAAATTTTTACCTTAGATTTACATAGTTTAGTGCATTGTTTGTTGACGCTGCGGAAATCTGTGCTTTTTCCCAGTTCCTGTGATTTTTTTTTTTTCTCACAAGCCAATGCGCTTGTTTTGTCACAAATGTACATGCATTTTTTTTTTATTAAAGACTGTTTCACTAACTAGGACCACACCAACAATGACATGTGCAAAGAAGTTTATTGATAATGTACAAAGCGGGGCAGAGATGGCTGGGTTGAGACTATAGGTGGGGGCTCCTTCTCAATCTTCAATTGGCCCAGCTGGAACGGGCCCCCCCTTGTAGGGGTCTTATGACTGAAAGACAAAATAGGGGATGCGAGGGTGGGGTCGAGTTAGCAGAGACAAACTGGGATGATGGGAAAGGCTGCTACATATAGGCTTCTGGGAAATTAGAGGCATGGTCGAGGTGAGTTGTGGTTTGCTGGTGAGAGGAGAAGGCAGCTAAGGCGTGGTCCTGCTCCTGAATCTCAGTTAATCATATTAACTACATTTAACAGTTCAGTCACACCCAGGGAAATTCATTGAGACAAGACCACTACAACTTTGTAAAGTATTAGAGAAGCTTTCACTCATGTGCTTTAAGTAGGACAAACATGGTTGGTGCCAGTGCCACTTCTGCAGATGAACTTTGAACTCTTGGAGGGTGCCTGGATGGCTGGAAAGCCCTCACTGGCTGCCTTCAATGCCCGGCACCAAATTGTAATCCTATAGCCCCATTGTCACGCTCCGTCTCCTCCTGGTGACCCCATGTCCAATTACGCAGCTGACCCAGGCTTGATGATATAACCTTCGGCGTCTTTTTAGGGTTAAGAACCAGGTCTACCTTGTCAGTACTGCGCGTTAACCAGACACTTCCTTGAATGTTCCCAGTGAGTTGGAAATAAACACTGCTCCCATACACAACTATGTTCATTTTGGCTTTTTTGGGTCCAACAAAGGAGCAAATACTTTCAAGGGCATCTTTGCACATGTTTGGTTGTTTGTCATACATCCTTACCATAAGCCTGTCAAGATAATTACTGTATTGACCATTCAACAAGTGACAGATGGAACAATAAGTAATTTATATTCAATCTACACTGCTTAATAGTGCACCTAACATTTGGCAGTTTATGTCACATTAACATGACTACTTGATCATTCAGAAAGTTTGATCTTCATAATGCTAGTCACACATTAGGAATGCATTCATTTTCATAGTGTTACCCTTTGAAACAGCAGTGTGTCAAAAAATGTTGCATGGCGAAAGACAAAAATATAGTGTATTTCCATTATAGGAAAGCATATAAGGGATGTAAAGTGATTTTAGTTTACCCAAGTATTAATGGTCACACTTTATTTATAACCTAATATTGATATTAACCAACTACTATGAGTTTCATTTTGCTATTTCTTAGGAAAATGGTTTAATTTCGTTAGTTTGTTGTTTTAGTGTTAGCCCTCATGCTCTCCTCGGGGTCACATAGACCCAAAGACAAAACAAAATGCTTCTTCGGGTCAATGTGACCCCGAGGAGAGCTTGAGGGTTTTTAAATACACAGATCTTATTTTCACCCCAAAAGCTGCTTTATAATGTATCTTTACTGGGGCAAAACAGAGTTTACTTAATTACAATAAAAAAATCAAGGACCCTTTAGCGCTCACTGCACCATGATTGTACTGCTTGATTGAGGGTTCTAATTCTCTTTCTTGACTGATTTGTTTGGGTTTCCTTGTAACTAGTTGAACTGCCTTGATATTTGTGGGAAGCACATTTGACAGTTATGCTCTGACTGTTTACATGGAAGTCTGTGCGTGCTCAGCAGCTGAGATACATTAGAGAGCCTCATGCTTAGTATGCACTATAAGCCCTGGAAAGCTGACCTGTCAGTAGCCAAGTGTTTTAAATAGATGTGCAGATCATCTCCAGCACTATGTTTGCACTGTGTACTCACTTTGAGAAAAGACACCCGACTCCATGACTTCTTAAAATAAGATTTTAATATTACTTATTATCATAAAGATATATTTACACACTTTACAGAAATAGAAAATAAAAAACACAAAGCTACGCATGAAAGGAAAAATAAAATAAGTACTCCAAGAGCTAAAGCTTATCTTTTATAAATTAGAAACCAAAAGTTCAAATATGTACACAGTATTTCAACCATTTCTGATACACTTGTTTTATTTATTTATTTATGTCATTTATTTTTGCCCAGTTCAACACCAAAACATAGACAGGGACTGTACATTTGGCCTGGTGAGTAATATGAGCGCACATCATGAACAGAAAAGAAGATTGAGGATTAATACATTGTCTTTCTGCTGGAGACCTATAACACTGGTGCAATGCAGACTGCATCTGCACAGAGTCAGGATTCCCCTGGGACACAGTGGCACTCAGATGGAGAACAGGTTGTTATCTTGGCCAGGGGCCGATGCTCCTGTGAGTGAAGGAAGTGTCATACCATACTGAAGCTCCAATGATAATGACAGATCAGCCTTTTCACAAGGGAGATCAAATTTAGTCCTCCTGGGCATCATCCAGCCAGAGGAAACGTGTCAGTGTATTATAAACGTGCTTTTGCGTTGACCACTGTGTCTCTCCATTCAGATGCAGTTTGATTAGCTCAGAGATTTAAAATTACAATCATGGAATGTGTTGAAACAAGATTTCCATTCCACAAATAGTGAAATAGTACAATTTCCTTCAAAGGATTTTCTCAGGTTAATGGTTTGACAAAATGTCAAAAGCATAAAAATAACTTTCTGTATTGTTTATATATGGAAAGTAAAGACTGGATAGTAATTTCTGAATGCTACTAGCTTATTCTTGTCTTCACCTGTAACACTACGTCCCTGCTTATCCCCAGTCTTTACACACTTCTAGCCAAATGCTTTCAGACTCAGAAAACTCAACACAACTGGCCAATGGTTAATTTCTTCAGAAACATGGTTTTCCAGGAAACAAGTGCATAGGAGCATTGCTCAGGCCCTGTGATGTCACAGAGAAGAGGAACTGAAGAGGAAATGTGAATAGGAATAGGAAAACTTTGCCCAGCGTAAGCCTGGAAACCATTAAGCAAAATGGTTTTGCTCCACAAGCATAATGTATTGGTTTACCATTTTAGTTTGAGCCTGGATGTGCTTGTCCTTCCACACCACAAGGCCCATTAACCTGATGCGCAGGGGAGGGTTGTGGGCCATAATCAACAAGGAAGAATGCCTGAAAGCTTTCACGTGCCCACGACATATTGTGCTGCAGACTACTTTTCTATTTTGTTACATCCACAAAATATACAGTATTTCCACTGTATTTAAAGTAAGCTTTGGACAACCAGCTAGACAAGAATCAGACAATAATTGTCACAAACACTGGAAAACCATTTCATACCATGTTTTCAGGGTATATTTTCCAGCAGCATTATGGAATTGCAAAAGTGCAACCTTGCACACCCAAACAGAGTCTTTAAGCAAACCACATCTAAAAGACACTAACTTGGAAACATGGGATATTTGGCTTTGGATTTTTAGATTGAATGTGTGGTAACTATGTGGTATAAACAGTTTTAGGATTTGCTCTGGTCTCTGAAAGGGCAGCATGGCTGGTACAGATGGTGCGTATACATTCATGATAAACAGACGTTGCTCTAACTCTTAACTTCTGAGACGGGACATTGATTTGAACCCCTGTGCTGCCCCAGTCTACTCCAGCATCCAAGCTCCTGCTTAGAGCCTCCATGCTCAGCCTTCTCCAAAGCTTCTCCAATAATACATGAGACGACCTGGGCCAAGCTGTCTCATTCCAACCAGCATTAATGAAATCTACATCTCTGTCTGTAAGCGAATGAAAAAGTAATGGTGGAACTGAAATTATTCCTCTTCACAGTGCCTTAGGATTTAATACATTTTTAATCAAGGTGGGCTTGGCGGCATAGATTACCACTGTGAGTACTGATGCTCTCTTAATAATAGCTTCTCATGCTGTGACTGAGAAGACTGCATATAATAATATTTGCATGAGATATGGCGAGAGGGAAAGGATGTTGTCAGTCTAACTCGGGCTGTTTATTTTTGGCTGAACATTTATTTGAGGAGCACTCACCTCTTCACATTAATTTGAAATTCACACTTGACCTGAATGCAATTTATCAATGTTTAAATTTGTTTTACAAATTGTATGTCATGTAAAATCAGAAGAGGTTGGCGATCTAACCCGGGGGATGGGTGTGGTTTTAGTCTAAGCCAATTTAACAATAAGCTCAGACTAAGTGGCCTGGGCCAGCTTTGGAGAGATCCATCTGAGAAAGATTAACTGGAGGATTTAATGAGCGTAATGATCAAAGCCACGACCACCTGTGCTGTGCACAAGAAAGGCAACTGTACCCAAAGCAATGCGGGGATAGGACTGGGACTACAAAATCAGTCTAGATACGCCACTATACTGGCCTATGCACAGAGGGAGAAGAAAACAGTATATGAAAATAAGTTTATTAAATAAATGCACAAAATAGACCCCTCTAGTACATGCCTCAATCATAGACCCTGAGAAAAAGAAAGTAGATAAACGCATATATAACAGAAACAGTAATATATTCCATGATGGAAAGGCATAGCATTAGTCTGTGATAGGGTCACCAGCCTTATGCTGAAGCAGCCAGAGCATTGGTGTTGTATTAACTAGGCTTTCCACTCACATTGAGACTGTTTTTGGTCAAATTTTGGAGTCATGCTGTGTACGATTTATTAGTCATTGCAACATTAGAAGATGCATATTGTGTCAGTGTATCAAGACGTCAAACAAGAGGTAATGTGTTTGTCCCTAACCATTCATCCTGTGTTCCTGGCAGCATTGTGGAGAGGGTTTATTTGGCACTTTATTAAAAGGCAGGCTGGTCTGTGAGTGGAGCAGACGTCTGCCAGTTAACAGTCGCGTCGAGCAGCTGCACAGGGCAGCAATGTTGTGAGAAGGCTGGGGATTGGGGACAGGATTGGGATTTGGGGTCAAAGGACTCTTCCAAGGTGGGACGAGTTACAGTAACCTTGAGCACATCAGTTAACCCCCTAAGGTGATAATGAGAACAGACACACCAAAATAGATTTGGATTACAGTATCTCCTAATTAAATGACTTATTTACTCTGAAATAGTTCCGAATACACTGTGCGCTCTCTTCTGAGTCCAGCCTCACTGTTAAATGGACATTAGTCATTAGGAGGTACAAAGCACCATGTCTAATGATGATAAAGCCACGGTCACAAAGTCTTAAGTTTATCTTTTGCGTGTGAAAAAATCCTTTTCACAGCAGTGTCTTCGGTGAAATTAGACTAGCACTGCAGTTCTGCATGATCAGCACTCTCTCACTTGTGTAAAAGCACAATAGCTACACAGCAATGGAGTCAGCGGCTGAGGTAACCTTGAATCTGAGTGTTGGAAACGCCTCATCGAAGCTTTCCGATTCTGGTCTTTTGGACAGGGCTCCCTCTCCACCACATGTCATGCAAAGTGTTGGTGACGGATGTGATTTGCCTATCTGATGTCAATTAAATAAATGCCAGGGAAAAGACAGATAACTGGTAAGGGAGTGAGAGAAGGAGAACGAGAGAGACAGAGGAATAATTTCTGATAGCTCGGACTCTATATCCCCCACCCCCCTTCCCCTTGCCCCCCATGCCTCGTAGAGCTGGGGGTGAGCGTCTTGTCCTGATTATTTTGTGGACAGTTGCTTGAAGAACCAGCATGTGCTATGGACATCACTCTTCTGGCTGGGCAAGCGAAGGCCCTTTGTTGCAAGGCCCCCCCAAGGAAAAGGAAGAGCATAGAAATCAGAGCCTGGGGAGGGCGCTCGATGCAGTGTCTGCAAAAAATAAAACAAGAAAAACATCATAATGTATAACATTACAATATACAGATGCAATCCAAACAAATATGTCAGTATTGTAGACATATGTACATTCCATCATAGTTGTTTTGTCTAGCGCATGGTCCTTGCATGCGTAGAAGTCATTTGATGCTTGAAAGAGGATTTTCAATTTCCGCTCATACAGTACCCCCCAAGCCCCATCCTTGTGGCACACCATCTGATTGGATGGTCTGATTGTTCAATAGAGAGGTTACTCCAGACATGTAACATTCAGATTTCACACCATTTGACAGAGGAGCAGACTAGGGAGTAAGAAAAACACAAGCAAAGCATTATCACTGGCCTGAGGGGCCCTTCTTGTTTATGCGGACCTCTTTTATCTTCTCTGGCTTTTTTTGCTGGTCTGTGATAATTTCCTGAGATTGGTGTTGTATAGTTTTGCTGCACCACAGTGAGGTTTCCAAAGTGATAAGAGTAGATTTGGCATATTTTTATGGTGCAGTAATGTTCAGGTAAGTGACATTACGTGTTCCTTATGTGACTGATTTGTTTTTTAGACTTTTTGATTTCAGTGTTGTATTCATTGGGCTTAACAAATATATTTAGTAGTTCATTTCTACCTTTTGTACAGCTTGTCATCTTCTACAATTAATGCACATCTATGTGGATTGCAAAAGATGACCCCAGTTGCCATCTTTTTTCTTAAATCTGTTTACATGTGGAACATGTAACAGCAAGAAGTCAAACTTTGCTGGCATATAGTGACTGGTCTCTTTGTTACTGTAGTGAAATACAAACAGCAGGCAGTAGTGTCAGCTCACGACATTTTGTCATATAGGCACTATTCCTTGGATTTCTGTTTTTAAAAATATAATTGTGTAAATGTAATTTGTGAAAATGTAAGTTTCCCTTATTGGAGAGATTGATTTCCTTGATTGGAGAATAGTGTATTCAAATGTCTCACTTTAGTAAGATTCCTTAAACCTAATGAACTTTGCCAGACTGATGAGAGCCAATGTGGAAAGGAGCTCATTGTAACTTAAGTGGTGTTTGTGAACACAGTGCTGTTACTCACTTTTGAAGAGCTTCACAACTTCCTGGATTTGCTTGTCTGCACTGTTATGGCAATAACCAGGGACTTTTAACTGGCAGTGTAGCGTTATTCTTTTGGTCTTAGACTAAAGATTTTCACCACCTTTGAAATTGTGCACAAAAGCTTACAGTCAAAAACATACAATGGTGATACATAATTATCTTCTTTTTGGTACCATTTCTTAAAGCTTTGCAAAACATTGTTGGCTCTATTTTTAACTACAACTGGGTACTCACTCCAGCTTGGTGTCTTTTGTTGACTTTATGGAGCACTTTTGTGGGGCAGCGTTGTGGACCTCCTGCAGGGATATTGTGTCTATGGAGTGGCTCTGTGGCCCCAGAACATTCCTTCTTTACACAGCGTCATTTGGCATGCATATTTTTTATATCTATATACTTTAAAAAATAATAGCCTGTTCAAGGTATGTTTATTTCAGTTTTTTTTTTTTATAATTGTGGTCAGAAATGGGAAAAAACACAGGTAAATTTTTGTCTTTTTATTGCATTATGACTTCAAACTACTAGTCAAACTACTTTGAGATCTTGTACTAGTATGACCACTATTATAAAATGCCAGTAACTAACAAGTATTTATAATGTGATGTTTTTAAGTTCATAGCAAAACAGTACATTATGTTAGACCAGAATCAAATAATCTAAAACTTTTTTTCATTTGTTGAATCCAAGAATAACATCTCTAACATTAACTTCCCATAATAGTTGCCCCTATTTGAAATTCTCCGTGAATTTCTTTTATCCATAAGAATGTGCTTTGTTGACAAACCAGTGACATCAGGTCAAAGTAAGTGTTATTTTTTTGTTTTAATGGGGCTGTAGGTATTTTGTATTATGGGGGTCTCACCTTGCTCTAGAACGGCATGGGCCCCTTGTGGGACAGACGAGGTCGTGGACGTCTCCGTTTCCAGCCGGCTGGTCTGTGACTCTGACCGGTCCGCACTGGGTTTGGTGGCACCAGCTTTCTCACTGTGGCTGTCTCCTCCAACTCCCTGCCATGCTCTGTGGAGGCCATGGGACCTGGAGGAAAAACAAACATCTGTTTACTAAAAACTATCAAAAGTTAGTTTACTCTATCAGCAGCATGCTTAGGCCCTGAGTGCAAAAGGGTGCATTGCTACAGCGGTGCAAAAGAGTACATTGCAACCTCATTTAAAATAGGTGTAGAATCCCTCAGTCATCCAGGTAGAATTCATGGCAAAGGAGAAAACAAACAACAAACAAATGTTTATCCAGTTGACCAGTCCAATAGGTGCGTGAAATAGTGACACTTTAAGGAGTTTGTGCCCCTTTCATACTCAGATGCACCCTTTGTCAGTTTGGTTTGGATCCAGTCATGAGCATGCTTGAGGAAAGATCCGGCAACAGGGTAAATACACGGTAAATACATTCCATAGCTTTTGTATGCATCCTTTAGCCCACCCAATGATACTATTCATCAGTTTAGCACTTTGAAAGTGAGCATAAATGAACAAACGCTCCAAAGACAAACCTAAACATTAGTGTCTCATGTCTCTGTCACTCTCTTTGAGATTACAGCACACACATGCAGAGATTGTGTAGGGCAGTGAGTCTGAGGCACAGGCCTGCAGTTCACATGTGTGCTGAGAGTGATCCCAGATGGTCTCAGTCATTTCTCAATAACTGTGTCCTGATCCTCTTAAGCCCCTCTTTCCAAATGGTTAGGTCCACCTCAGGTGTCTCTATAACCTTTTCAACTCTTACAGTCTCAAAGAACTCCACTTGGCAGATCTTGACACTAATGTTGATTTTTCATTCACTTTACCATCATTTTTAATATTGTTTTATATAGTTTATGTCCTAAGAGGTTTTCTATGCTTAAAAGACCCCATTACATATATTAGGAGATTTAAAATTTAAACCACCTGTGCTACAAAAAAAAATGTTTGTTTTTTTTCCAAAGGAATCACAAATGATATGGGTATTTACTGACAAACAGCTCATTGACCTCACCCAGATGGGGTCTTGGCATTCTTGTTTCCCCTCTTGTCAGAAAGACTGGCACCATTTTTAGAATCTCTGGATAATGACCTTTCTTGGGTTTACTGGGGCTTGGGTGAGTCTGCAGCTTAAGATAAGTCTCCCAGTTGACTAGTGAGGTGAGAAACACAGGATGTGTACTGAGGACAGCAGCTCTCAAGCCGCTTATGAAAGCAATGCTGCTGCCCTCTTTAGAGCAGTTAGCAGTTTCAGTACACCCGGCTTCATAAACAAACCCGCTGGAATTCTAAGAGTAACTAAACACTACATTAAAAGGTGGAAAACAGCTTAGGGGGTTTTCTTAGATATCGCTGAAATTGTTTCTTAAGTTCCATTTGCTGATATGTTTCACATTGCCCACCATATTTATCCATGAACAGTGGGCTCATTCATTTTTGCAGGAAAAATCTCTCTTGCATATTTCCGCATCTAAAGCCCATCATTGCCCTCTGAAACTCTAATCTGTTTATGATCCGTTTGTTATTGTTGCAGAGGCAGACTGAATGAGAGACGTTCACACATTCTGAGGCATTCGGCTCATTTCACCCAAATCCACAGGGTTAACTGTTAAAACGCTCTACTTTGAGGCAGATTTGAAAGCTTAGTATTAAAGCGGCCCCTGCTTCCCTTTGGCCCCGAAACACCCTTAGCGGTAACCACTCTGCAGTCAGCTCCTTGACATTTAAGACTTACTGTAACTTCAGTGCTACTGTAGATGGACTGGACTCTTAACATGGACTCACACTACTCCACACTCACACACACACTCTGCCGAGTAATTGTACTTCAGCACACACAACTCATCTGCCCATCCTGCTGCATGGCTCAGCCTGTCATAACCTGGTCCATAATGAGACAATTTAGATGTCTATTGCCATGGCAAGCTGTCCGCTACAGCTCAGCACCAGCTTCGAAGGCAGAACCTTCTCTGACAAATACACACACAACCAATCTGGCTACAGGATCGAAACATGTAATGAAAGCTGCTAAAAATAAGCCCTACACTAGTGATAAGTCTGACAGCATAGATTAACCCTTGGGTAGCTGTGGGGAGAGCCTAACCCTCTGACAGGTACACACTATACTAACAAGACTATGTATGCACATGTTGCATAAGATGTTATGATAGGTGGCAGACAGATCAGATTTTCATTTGACAGTGTGCTTTAATAAACAGAAGATATCTCCACTATCTTAAGGCCCTGAGATGAGATCTACTCTTTTTTTTTTATTCAGTTATCCCGTTTGATCCTCTTCCATGAGGCATGTATGTCCATGTGCTTATGCATTGCAGTAACATATGTTTAATAACATATATAAAATATATTTAAAAAATGTACACACATCCTTTTATGACATACATGACTTTTTTATCTTTTTATCTTTCACAGTAATTCCGCATGGTAGTTTAATAAAGGAGCAATTTTTGGAATGCCTGGCCACAGGTGCTAGTGCAGCTGGTTTGGAGATGCTGTGTGTATAGCATAGTGTCTGTGGTAATGAGGAGAACAGTTGTTTATAAAATGGCTAGTTTCCAAACTATGATAAATGACTGTTTTAGTAGTTTTACTTGTTTGCTTCCTGTGATGAGGATTGTAGTCTATCTTTATTAGCCAAAGATAAACTGTTGATTTGATTCTGCAAATCCAATACATCTTCTAAGTGCTTGTCCAAGCACAAGAAAAGAATAATGTCCATCTTCTGATTTTATGCCAGGTTCATCAGTTGCTCTGATGGCAGACTGCAGCATTATATCACCTACTGTTGGTCAATAGAGTGTGAGTAAAGGACATTAACTGCTTATTGAAAGTTGTAAAGCCAGGTTTATGTGTGTACTACCATAATGTCCACAGAATGAAATGTAAGTTATGGCTGCTCCGCTTTCTAGCATCAGTAGCAGCGAAGGTAGGCTCTGTAACTGGCCGAAGACATTTAGTTACAAGATGAAAAAGACACAGAGTGGTCATTTAAAAGTTTAACTAAGCAGTTCATCTATGTATACAAACCTGATAATGTCTTCATACAATGTCTTGTTAAGCCTCTTATTTCCCTATTTGTTAGTAACTGCTGAATAAGTTCAGAATATAACACTTGGCTATGTCATTCCTCACTTGGACTACATTAAAGACCTAGTTAGAGCTTCTGCCCTCTTTTCACAATAGCACACTCTAATTATGCCCTACAATTAAAGTAGATCATAAACCAGTAAGTTATCAGTAGTATTTGGCTGTACTAATCGACAATTTAGGAAAAAAAAGCAACAACAACAAAAAGCTGTCTATTAATGAGGGGTGATTATTTCAAGTTATGGGTAGAGATGAGGAAGAGAAATGCCCTGGAGTGTGTAGCCATGGTTATTATTACCATGACGTTGGAGGAGCAGGCCTGCTGTCTCCACTGCGTGCCACCCTGCTTCATTCACTAAACAGTGAACAGCTTCAGCTCATCATAACCACAGATGCACTTCGTATCCAAAGATTCAGACAGACATGCCACCGACAGAAATGATTGCTCCAGCATAAGCACATTAGAGGCTCTGGGATATTTAGGTGATGTGTTCATTCTGCAGGAACAAGACAAATATTCTTATGCAAGGCCCATCGGTGCATCATTTGGGAATGCCAGATAGCCAGTTATTAGCAATTGCCACATTCTTTAGTATGGACCTGACCCAGCTCTCACAATCTGACATGTAGTGGCAGAAATCTCACATGCCTAATCAGTAGAAGTCTAGGCCTTGGCAGAAACTGGTACCAATTGCATGCCGACTTTCAGACCAAGTTACCATGGCACCCACTATGAAAAGCACTTGCATTTGAAAAGAAAAGAATTGCATTGTCAGCTAAACTCCGACAGGTTCTCAATTTACCGATTTCACTGCACAAATGTGTGTAACCTTGATCAGTCCTCTGACGCTGCACTGAGCCTGCATTGTTTCATTGCACTTGGCCTCTGGGTGATCCACTCCAGTGGTGATAGAGGGGGGTCATAAGGGCTGTCTTTTCTAAGGGGGGCTGTTTGATATGCAGCATTGTTTTGCTTGGATAATGCCAGGCTTGTGACAAACAGAATGCAGCTTTTCTATCTGTAAACCTCACAGAGGAAACAAATAGTAATAGTTTTGGTTGTTTCACCTACACTTTCTATTGTAATTTATTATGCCATTATTGTTGAACATATTGTTGAATATTCAATTGTTTTGTAAGAGGAATGCATTTGGATTCAACATGTCCAGTAAGGGATGCTACCGTAACTCACAGAAAAAATAACTATGCATATGCTACCTGGAGTTGTAAATTTGGCACAAAATAAAGAACAGGAAATATATGAGACAGTATGGTAAAACCACAGCATAAAACAGTAACATTGCTTTATAAAATTACCTATAAAATAGCACACGAGCCAGCATCTCAAACTGAGGTATGTCAAATATCAAAATGTACAGCCAAAATGAAATAGAGCTGCTCCCTCTGAGTTGTCTGTCTTTGGAATAACTAAACTTAAATACTGATACTGATCTCAGGAATAACACAGTCAGACCACATGCATTACTTATAGAAAATCTGCTTTTAATAGTAATATTCATGCAATATTAGATACGTTTTAATCAAGTCAAAGTAACACCTGGCACAGTTCAACAATGCATTCATTTAAGAAATTAGTGTCAACAGCAGTTGTAACAGTTTAATAAAATCTTAATGTAACCAGTAAACTAACCTGAGCATCAAGTTCTAGTCACCCATCTCACATCTAGTATACTGGTCAGATGTTTTACTGCTAGAGCGTGCTGATTATCATTGACTGGTACTTCCAGTCCCCAAAAAATAGGACTTTTTATATTAAACAGAATGTTCAGCGCACTCTAAAATGTTTGGTAGTGAATGTATTTTCTTGCTGTACTCATGAGTCTCTTATTCTGAAATGATGAGGCCACACACTAAGCAGTGATCACAGCTCTGTGAGTTCAAAGGGCCAAAGCTTCACTCAGACCACTAATGAAGCTCCGCACTACTTGACTG